TTCTGGGAGTTGAAGTCCACACATCTTAAAGTTGCCAAGGTTGAGAAACACTGTTCTAGATTGTCAACTTTCTGGAAACTTTCAAAGCAAATGCTTCTCCCCTCTTTTGGAAGCCGTGGTCCAGGTTTCAAAGCCAGTTGAGACCCTGGGGGGAAAAACCTTAATTTTTTTCATCCTTAGCAGAAATGGCTATTTCGTTTCTTCGCTGAGACAAACAAGAACGAGAGCGATTTTTCAGGCTGAAGTTGGTTGCCAGCATTACACCAGCTGTTCTGCTGATACACCAACTCTCTTTTTCTCCGGAAGTCTAGCCAACGTACATCCACCTGGAGCCGTTTTCCCCGGCGGGTCTAGCAAGCGATGACTGTCAGCACATGTTCAAATACACTAAATCCTGAACTCACCCAACCGGCTGCCTTTGCAACCCACGCCGGGCCGTGCGTGCAGAAAGAAGGCTAACCCAAATTAAAATTAAGCCAGCTGCTACAGCTTTCGTTGACCCCCCCGTCTTGGCTAACTGGTTTTTTTCATGGCATCCAAATTGATCAATACATTTGGAAAAAGGGCCGCATTAAAAACTCCTGTGCACGCTGGTGATCTGAACATTTTCAACCGCCTTGATTCTACAATTACTTCTACGACGCTCGATCTCATTCAAAAAAATAAAGGAACGTCCCTTTTTTATTTAAAAAATGAAGCTGGGGAGGGGGTGGATTACATTTCAAGCGCTGTCATCTTTTGTGGAAGGCACAGATCTCTCTGGGAGGGCTCAAATTATCTTTTGTAGCTGGATCCAGAGAAAAGGCAAAAGTTACATCTCGTAAGCAAGCAAAACTGGTTTGTTTTTGGTCCTGAGCCAAAAGTGACGTTTCCTGGTTAGACTTCGAGGCGGAGGAAGAAAGAAGAAATATTTTGGAGGAAAAAACCTAAATCGGTGTTTCTCAACCTCTGTGACTTTAAGAGGTATGGACTTCAACTCCCAGAATTCCCCAGCCAGCATGGCTGGCTGGGGAATTCTGGGAGTTGAAGTCCACACCTCTTAAAGTCGCAGAGGTTGAGAAACACTGACCTAAACTAAGTCACCAGTATATCCCCAGTATCCCTGAGTTTTTAGATGAAAATATGCAGTGTGTTCATTTCTCTCTCCCATCTACAAAGCCTAAAAATTGGTTTTTTAGGACGGGAGAGAAACAAATTCCCCGAGCCGAGCTTGACAGCCAGAGCTGCATTAGAGAAAGGCAAGCATTTGAAATGTCAAGAGATGCTGATTCAGTGCTGCCTTGGGGCCTTTCTCCCAGGCCCTTTGCAGAGGACTAGCAACTTAAAAGGGGGAAGAGCCCCGAACAACGAGCTGCTCTTCCCCAACAGGCAACCCGATCATAATGCCTGTTACAATTGCTGAAGAATAAAGAAAGGAGAAGGGAAAGTGGGTTGGAACACGTTAAGGTCCGAGAAAAGACCAGAACTAGGAATTATCGCATTGGCACCCCGAGCATCTCAAGAATCCGGGTCCCCTTTTCCAGATAGTCGGACCGCTGCAGCCAGAAGTTCTCCTTGTCCTTCATGATGTCAGCAAGGACGGCTCCCCCCAAAAATACCATGTGTTTTCGGCGTGGGGGATCCTCAATGCGAATCTTGAATTTCTGAAAGGTGGGGGAGACACATCGCATTACTTTTCATAAGAAAGAGGACCTCTGGGGAACTTCGGTTGGAAGGGAATCATATTTTGGTGCTGGCTCTGCAAGATGCTCGAATGAGTCAGCTATTCACCTGGTCAGGCTTTGTACAGACTTACTGGGTCAGATTTTCCCTCCCCAATTTTGGAACCTAGAGCCTAGACCTGGTACCCCATGCACAATTCAGCCCCGGTGGCCCGACCACCAGGAAGAAGCATTTCGAAAAACTCCCAGAGATTCCCTCTTAACGAAGACGCAAGAAACGAGGCTGAGAAATTCCTCTTACAGCTTCCAAGATTCTCTATTCCCACCAAGGCTAACATTAAAGATAAGCCCAGTTGTGTGGGTCTCAGCTTTACTCTCTATCTACAAAAAGGTGAAATGCCTCTCTTCGCCCGCATGGCAGTTGAAATCTGACTTTCCCCCCCCCCTCCCATCCTTCCCATTGTGAAAGGGCCTTTTTGCCCTGTTTTTCTCAGCCTCAGAAGTGAGCCACTGTTGATGGTTGACCAAACGGGCATCTCTGTCCTGAGAAACTCTAGCTCTCAACTGGTTTCCCAGTCTGAAAAACCCCACGGGATAGATTTCCTTCTAAAGGGCCCCTTTGGGACTGAACAGAAGGGGGGGCAGCCAAGGAGACAGGAATCTGCTGGAGAGAGATGATTGTGCAAGGAGAGATACAGCATTCACACACGCCCCGTACTATTCTATTGCTTCAGTAAGTGCAAGAATCATGGAGAGTACAGAAGATGACCTTGATGGGAATATGCAAGAACTATTCCCACCAAGGCTAGCATTAAAGATAACCCCAGTTGTGTGGGTCTCAACTTTGCTCTCTATCAACAAAAGGGTGAAATGCCCCTCTTCACCCCTCTAGGCAAAGGGGGGGGTGAAACATTTTTTAAGTCTTGGGAAACAAGATACTGTTTGGAAGACGCTCAGGCGGACCCCTCCGATTCACGGGAGTATAAGAAGTGGAAGGGGGTCCAGCACAATCCGTACATTGCAAGATTCTGCTATTGTAGCCCCTCTCAATAAAAGTAGTTTTAGCCATCCTGTGGAATTGATTTCATAGACCGGTTGACCTGGTGGGGCTGACAAGAGCCTCACACTTGACCCAAATGCCAGCAACATTTGCTCCCCCTTTAAATGAAGGTCAAAAAGGCAGTTCTCTTTTATCAAACTGAGTGGGAATGGGGGGGCAGAGGGAGGGGGATTTCTTTCTGCCTGGCACTGTCTAAAATGCCCAGAGGGGCCAGCCCCTCAGAGACTGGACCTTGCCCCCCCCTCCTCCGAATCTGCATTGTCCACTTACCGACAGTTTTTCCACATCCCCGTTCAGCACCCGTTCCAGATACAGCTGTTTCATCTCACGCTCCAGGCGGGATGGCAGCCCGGGGTACATGGTAGAGCCCCCCGAAAGAACAATATGTTTATAAAACTCGGCCCTGTGAAAAGATGGGGTGGGACGGGTGGGTGGGTAGAGGAGAATGATCAGATGCTGTAGCTGCACGAGGTTAATTTAATGGAAATAAATCAGACGTGCTTCGTTCCGTGACTCTCCCAGCATTTAATAGCACAGCCCTCCCTTTCAGAAACAAATTCAATGACTAATTTTCAAGGGGGTTCACGGCACAGTGATCATTCAGCTTTTTCTCCAGGCCTTGAAATCAGGAGAATAGAATTTCCAGTTCACAAGCTATAGAAGATTCTGAGCCTCTTTCTCCACCCATTATGCAGCTGCAGGCTATGCTCCCTCTTATCTGACCGTTCCCTTGGAAATGTCTCTTCACCCAGTCTCCCAAGGTCTTTCCCACATACCCGATATCAAAAACGTTGCAGTCTGGAAGGCACTTCATTCCAAGTTGCTTGTATTCCATTCTGTCCTGTTTCAGCTTCCCCCCCACACACACATAGCCCCCAACTCTACTTAGGCCTTCCTGCAATTTTGGATTTCCCCCTTTCCTTCCCCCAGTTTTTTTTTTTTTAAAGACCTCTGCAAACTTGCGGGGTCCTTGAAGCCAGAATTAGCTCTACCTTCGCTTCGGGGGCTCTCCAGTCCATCCCATCTCTTACCGGGTGTCCACCGCTGAGGCTTGGATGGTGTTGAAGAGAAGTTCAGCCATGCCTACCCCTTCCACGTTGATGAGGTGAGGCTGAAACAGCGCTTCGGGGGCTTCGAAGCGTTCCCCCCCAACTTTGATCACACGCCCATCTGGCAGCTGGAGGGGGGAAGAAGAAGGAAAGGATGATCAGCTCCCCACACCAAAAGATGGGCCACCTACATCAATCACAAGGAGAACATTCAATGTGCTTCTTGTCTTTTTATGGGGGGGGGAGATTTTGCACTGAAAAGATCCTACCATGATTGAAATTATGGGAAGAATGACCACAACTGTCTATGGCCTTTTGAAAAAAGGATTAGTATCTTTCAACAGTGTTGGTGGAGAGCCATAGAGATGATTTTGTAGGCAGAGACGGTTACAAAACCATGTTTTAAGGCTGGGAAACAGGAAAACTTAGAAAGAAAATTAAATTGATCTTGCCTTAACTCCTTGGAATATAAGAGGGAAGGAAGAGAAAATGCAGTCAAGCTTTCCAGATTTTGCTTCTACAGCCCAGTGTTTCCCAACCTCAGCTGCTTTAAGATGTGTGGACTTCAACTCCCAGAATTCCCCAGCCTTCTGAGAGTTGAAGTCCACACACCTTAAAGCTGGCCAGGGAATTCTGGGAGGTGAAGTCCATACATCTTAAAGTTCCTGGAGTTGGGTTGGAGTTGGGAAACATTGCTATCGTTCATCTCAATAAAATAATAACTCAATAAAATAGAGTTCTAATCATTCTTTGGCCTACCTTAAAGGGCTGACGTTATCCAAAAAAACAACCCTCAATAAAGCCAGAACAATTTTTTAAAAAGCCACAGAAAAGGAAATGTGAAGGAGAAAGAACTGTATGTACAGTTTGGGAATATAGATATAAGGTCTATCCATGTGTAATGGTTAGAGCTTGTTAGTATACAGACATGCCCCCCCCACATCTGGAGGGCAGAGCGGCAACCCGAAAAAAAATTAGAAAAAGCAGTAGCCAAGAAAGCTTCATAGACACATAAAATCAGACATTTTATTTTATTTTTATTTTAT